CCGACGGTCTACTAGAATCCGGAATGAAATGGATGAGCATCCCTATCGTGTCAAGAAGGCATGCAATGTTTGTCGGCGACCTGGGCATAACAAGAAGACATGTCCTATAATTAGTGGTGGTGTTCGATCATCTGGGTAACGACCATTAGATATTGCTAAAAATTGAAATCTTATTTATTTTTAATTTTGTTCCTTACGCATGCTTAAAATTAATTAAATTTCCTCTTATCATGTAGGTCCCATGGATCCGGTGATTCGACCAGGCCCAATTGATTCATCTGTTCTACGGTTGCAAACTTCCCATAGGAGTCATGACGTTTGGAGTGGCGTGGTTGATAGAGTTTTGTCAGTTAGGGAGCATGTGGTAAGCTTGGGACGTGAGTGGAGGGTAGAGGGTGGAGTACTAGAGTATGTGAAGCGTGTTGGGATTTACGGTGTGCATAGAATAGCGGGTGGAGGGTTTTAGCTTGATCGTTCTCTTCTCACTGCGTTGGTTAAGAGGTGGAGGCAGAAGACACATACTTTCCATCTCGTGGGGGGAGAGGCCACCATTACTTTACATAATGTTGCCGTTCTGTTAGGTTTGAGAGTTCACGGCCCACCTGTCATTGGTCCTCCGCTTGAGGGATGGTATGACCTTGTTAAGGAGTTGTTTGGAGTTCGACCTGACATTGATGACAAGGGTAAGCCTTTTTTGGAGGGATCTTCTTTGAAGTTGACGGTTCTCAGACGACACTTCTCACAGATTCTAGAGGGAGCTGATGACGTTACTGTTTAGCGACATAGTCGTGCTTACATTCTTACTCTCATGGGATCTATTCTCCTCGCTGACAAGAGTGGCGATGCTGTGTCACTCTACTACTTGTTGTTACTTAGAGATTGGGAGACAACTTCAACCTATAATTGAGGGAGTGCGACTCTTTGTACCGTCAGCTATGTCGAGCATGTCAGAGAGGAGCGTGTCAAATTGGAGGCCCACTTATCCTAGTGCAGCTGTGGTCGTGGGAGCACATTAGTATTGGTCAACCCTATGTAAGGAAGCCTCGAGATTCGCCGCAGGAGGACCTTCAGGAGGAGGATGACATTTTGGGGACTCAGCATGAGCGAGGTGTTGACTCTTTGGCGTGCAGGTAGTGTATTTCCTAGAGTTTTAGTTCTTACATTGCTGTCCCTCGAGAATTAAGAATTATTATCAACTAATTTGTACAGTTGGCTACGTGTACATATTTCGTGTGCGCATACTGCTTCTGGACTCTCATACTATCGAGATGCGTTTGACCATCAGCATGAGGACCAGGTATAATCGGTGTTTTTTTTATGCATTGGTATTCGTTCATTATAATAGTTATATTAAATTATACAAATAACATACCTATTTTGGGAATTAGATGATTTGGCAGCCATATACTGAGGTGGTGATGGAGCGACTTCCAGATTTGTCGCTCTGACATTCACATTTGGCGTACACGATCCCCTTTGATTTGCTTTGACGTCGTTGAGTTCCACCTCCCAGATCGAATCATGCGTCAGTTCGGGTTGGAGCAGCCGATCCCAGAGGCAGTTGAAACGGACGTTGCTCTATCCAAGAAGGATCGAAGGGGACAGCGTAATTGGGAGATTCGACATTCTGGGCATGTACATGAGCGGAGTCGACTAGAGGCATTAGTAATCCAGGGTAATCATGACAGAGTACATGGCTTGCTACCATCGCATCACGAGGTTGATCATTACTCCACCTTCACAGCCACGCCCCTCGAGTCATTACCAGCCATCTAGCTCTGACCTAGTACTTGTATGAACTTCATTTCATTGCAATTATAATGTAGTTATTTCGTTTTGAATTCATTGTACTAACATTAAAACTAAACTTCAATGTAGGCACATGCAATTGCTGATTTGCACGTGAAGCTATCAGGAGCTACTAAGACCATCTTTGATTTTCCACAGGACAAGGCTCTACCATTTTCCATACATACGATACAGAGTCTTACATCATTTCGTGGGCTGACCTTGTCTAGGGTGGGGCATTCGCACCTTATTGAGCAGCCTCGAGTGTCCACTTCGCTATCTTCTTCTGCTTCTATTGTGCAGACTCGGCCGATCAGACCACCATCTCATCGTGGTGGTCATTCATCACGTGCCTTTCGTCCACCGACTCCCATTCGCTCTCCATTACATGTTCCCACTCGCTCTCCCTTGCATGCTCCTTCCCCCTCTCCTTTACATGCTCCTTCTCCCTCTTCTACAGTTCGACATCCAGTTGTTACTTATGCTCCACTAGTTCCACCTACCCCACCCCCTCCTCCTCCTCAACATACTATCGTCACATCTCCTCCACTAGTGCAACGCCAATATCATAGAGTTCGACGGCGTGGCAATAGTGAGTCTCAGGTTGGAGTTGGAGTTGGAATTGGCCTACATGACATTCCAGAGGAGGGGACAGCTACATCACCTTCATCATCACTTCATGGGAAGAAGCAACGTACGAGCTAGGTATATATTTTGGTACCATTAACATATGCTATTTTACAAATGATAGTATTAGAGTTTCTTTATATTTTATCATTTGATAAGTATTTGACATTGCTCTTAGAATACCTTAATACAATTTGGACTTTCCATAGATTAGAATGTTTAAGTTCATAAACTTGTTATTTGTAGTGGTTGTGTTGAAAATATGGTATATGGACTTTGCTAGCTGAAAATAGTAGGTTTAAAGGTTTTACAAGTACACTTGCAGGTTTATTTTTTGGCTGATTTACTGATATTTTGTAAAAAAAAAAAAAAAAAAAAAAAAAAAAAAAAAAAATTACAGCAAAAACTGCTACTTGAAGTAGCGGTTTACTGGTAAAAATCGCTACTTGAAATAGTGGTGTCTATTTTATAAATCGCTACTTGAAGTAGCGGTGTCAATTTTATAAACTGCTACTTGAAGTAGCGGTTTATTTCCAGAACACCGCTACTTCAAGTAGCAGTTTGTTGCTGGACCGATAAAAAAAAAAACGATTTTTTTCCCAAAGCTGACGTGGACGGTAATTTGGGAATTAAAAAAAGAATGGCTGTAATTTGGGAATTACATACTTTCCCAACATTATTTAGGGAAAGCGCTCATTATTTGCATAATAAAATTAAACCTAACCCGCTGGGTGGGTATTATAGAGGACTTGCCGATTTGCATAATGACATTCATTGGAAGTCCCCAAATCCATAAAAATAAAATTCTTGTGTTTCGACACTTAGCAAAACATCAAAACAGATACATATAAATTTTTCTTTCTACTCAAAATCGGTGTAATTGAAGGAAAAAAAAAGTATATTATTTAATACTATTTTGCTTCTAAATTGTTAGTAAAATTACCTTTGATTTTGATTAAATTCTAATCTTAATCGATCGGTCACTTAGATAACGTGTGAAATAAAGAGAAACATGAGAGATTGAGAGAGAATTAATCTGTGTATATTTATTCCATATGATGGGGGTATATACACATACAATATAATTAGGGGTTGCTTGGAAAAGAATATAAACCCTACATCTAGAATATTCCGGAATAATACGAGGAGGATAATGGATATCCACAAATATTTCATATCAAAAATTGAATTTTAATTAAGTACACAATGAAACGAATCTAATAAGATCTCATATGACTATATTTTTCATGTTTGTTGTTCCACATGCTATACTAGTGGTTCGAGTTGGGGATTGGCTGGGTCCGGCCGAAATAACTGCGCAGGAAACACACGTCACTGTCTTCCGGGGTGGCTCGAGAAACCCCCCTCCAAAGCTTAAGTTAATTAGTGTTTAAAGAGAAAGAGTATTTTTTAAAGTGAGGGTGAGTGATAAACTCAAAAGTGTCTAACTCATTCTACTTGGCGTACTATTTATAGGTATACGAACTCCTCTAAGTCAGAGCTTGACTGGTCAACCTATGGCGCCGACCTGAATGGCTTGTTGAGCCCTTGCTGCGTTCCTCTAATGGTCATCACGCGCCCTTCAAGTATAGTTGGGAGCAGGAGATAACTCAGCAGGAGCTATCCCTTACAACTAGCCCTTCAGAGGTGGTATAAGGTTCCTCATGCCAACTCTTTTGAGTGTTCAACCTTATCAGTAAAAACTCAACAGGTCATCCGATTGAGGTCCCTCCCTTACATTTATAATTCACAAACGTTTGTCAAAACAAAGTTCATAAATAGCGTTAAAAAGTCAAAATATATCAACTAATTTTAAAATGGAGGAAATAACATTTATTCATTTTATAATAAAATAAATATTTTTTAGGATCAGGTGTAGCCTTGGGTCAATTTATTTTCATTTATTATTGTTTTACTTTGGAAAAAAACATCCAAATATTTATGGTTTAGTGGTTAAGATACTGATCTTTGTTCCAAAAGATACTACTCCGTAATGTTATACTTCGTAATATTGAAGTCATGAGATCAAATCATGTAAAAACCATGTTACTATTCCCTATGGTTGTCTTCTGTGATTTATACGTAGTGAAAATATAGTTATGTGCGATCTTGTTAGATTTGTCACGATATATTTTTTTTTCAAAATATCAACTTTTTATCATTTTTACTTATCGATAATCATTAAAGATGTTAATGGTTAAATTTGTGCATTGACAAACGTGGCCAAATAAATGTGCCAACTTAAAAAAAAAAAAAAACGGAGGAAGTAAAGAGTGTAGGTAAATAATGCATAAAGCCACAAGTCAAAGTAAGGGCTTATGTGGTTCATCTTATTTTTGCTGATCTGATTTGATTGTGACTAATGTTTTACTTAATGTGTATGATAAATCTTTGAGGAAAAATAATATATCAAGTGAAATGTTATTACATTCGTAAAATTTATAAACAAAAAATATATCAAGTGGGGTCTTGTTATATTCATAATAATGTGTATTTTATTAGTTAATAATTTTCAATTTTTTTTTACAAAATTAAAGATATATAACGATAAAAAATCGAAAATAGAAAAATAGAGTGTGTCATCACTTATTTTTCAAAATTTTAGTCTCCGGTACTCATTACCCAACCTCTTTCTCAAATCCTACTTGACTGGACGTGTTGCTTTTGAATTCGAAATGGAGCTCTTACAGTGTTCATCCACTTCCACTCATCTTCATCCTATCTCTTCAATCAAACGGAATTTCTCTAACCCCACTTCATTTCTTATTCAAAATCCCTCCAAAATTTCTTTGGGATTTCCCACAAATTTCTCTTCCGTTCAATCAACAAGAAAATGCAGATTACCCACCATTACAATTTCCAGCTCTCGTGCCCGTTTATCCATCCGGGTATTTCCCGTAATTTACTTGCTTTTTTATTTTTATTTTTATTTTTTAATTGCAATTATTATTTTATATAATAATGTAATTTGTTTGGTGTATGTTTGATTTTTGGATGAATTTCTTGTACTTGTGATGATGATGATTGGACTAATTTTTGGGATATTGTTGTGATGCTTTATTTTGATTGATTTAAGCTTTATTATTGATTGGTTAAGATTATTGAATTTGAATTGATTTTAATGGAGGACAAAGTTGTGGAATTTAAACAAGATTTTACGACTCGAAACCGATATCAACTTAACTTCAATCTTGAAACTGACCTACATATCTTTGATATCCCTTGGTGGGTTTTACAGTATGTATTGCGGTTGCATTGAAAGGCTATGTCTTGTGTATGTTTCAGTGAACAAAGTTGCTGGTGTCATATTGTAGTTTGAGGGTTATAAAATATTTTAGGACTTTGAAACTAATGATTTCAGTAAGGGATTCAATGTTTGGTGTGCCTTTTTTGAGAAGCATTCACAATTTATATTAATCATTGATAAATTTTAAACTTTAGAGACCTGAATGAGAGGCTATTCTTTGGTGGTTTGTAACTTATTAAGCCATCCAAGGTGTATTTGTTATTGCTACATGCCTTGGATGAATCGACAAAGGATTCGAAGATTAAGAAGAAGAAACTTTCATAATCATGCCTTATGGTCTTAGTCTTTGGTTTACATATACATTTTACCAGTATCTTTGAGCTCTAGTAGGTGGAGTTGAATTCCTGCCTTTGCCATGGTTGTCTATTTCGTTGTAGTTTCCTTAGATAATGATGAATGATGTTCATTCAAGAAGTGAGGAGCTGTTTTCTATTCTATATCCCATTTGATCCTCTTTGGAAATCCAGCATTTCAGCTGTTAACGAGTAGACATGAGTTAATAATGCATGAGCCAATATAACACCAACTAAGTTGCACCAGTGCATTCTCTGTCAAGCAGGGAAAGAATAACATCATTTTCAAAGTTGCAATCATTTACTTCAATATGAAAATCTGTACAAGCTCTTAGCCTCTGAGAAAGTTGGTAATCCAACACAAACGACCTAATGTCGTTGAGAAAGATTGTTATTGTTATGTGAAGCTAAAGTTCTCTTAAATTGTATGATTTGCGTGTAGTTGTGTATTTGTGTAGCCTTGTTTGATCTCTAGCACATCCTATTGATTTAAGATTTTCAAGTGGTTTTTAGGCTAGTGCAGAAGCTGGAGCCACTGACTCTGATCCAGTTGTAGACAAAGTTTCAGAGTTCAGAAATGCCTTTTGGAGATTCCTAAGACCACATACTATTCGTGGAACAGCTTTAGGTTCCTTGTAAGTTGCTTCTGTTCTAATCCAGCAATTTCTGTTGTTAAGGTTATTCTTCTTATGAAGGCCTTGCGGGTATACTGAACTACTCTTTCTGTACTTCTTATTGGCAGTGCTTTGGTGGCGAGAGCACTTATTGAAAATCCAAATTTGATAAAATGGTCTCTAGTGTTAAAGGCTGTTTCTGGTCTTGTCGCTCTGATATGTGGGAATGGCTATATAGTGGGCATCAATCAGATCTACGATATTGGTATTGATAAGTATGCAATTATAATTGTGATATAGTGTCATTTGGTTTGTAATTTTTCTATTTGGTTTTTAAGAGGCTAATCATTATTGGCACCAGCTAGTATCTTTATGTGTGCCCATACCATGCAATTTCAACCTTATTAAATTTCTGATGGGAATTTTTTAATTGAATTTGAATATTCCTACTTACTTTGTTGGGGCCATAGTTGTTGGATAGGTATAACTAATTATGTGATGATTCTTATTTGGCCATTTAAGGCGTCTAAAACATAAAACTCTAAATCTTGAAAATCATACAAGACCTCAATGCAGTTAGCACTTGGCTACCACCAGTATCCCAGAATCCTTGAGTCATGGCATACTTCTATCCATCCACTTCAAAATTATTGCAGAATGTGTTGCAAACACAAACACACACTTTGACATAATTATGAAATTGGAATTTTTGTCATGTTACTATGTCAGAATTATTAGCAACTTAAAATAATCCAGGAAATGCACATCCTTGAATTATTTTTACTTACAGCTGAAAATAATTTCATCTACGACTATATGTCAGTTGCACTTCAATAATTGAGGGCAATTTTTGTCTGGTGGCAATGTTTAGTATTTTATCTTTCTGGATTTGGATTTCCTAAACTTGTTGTAGTTGAAATAGTAAGTGCGATTTTCTATTTTGGTTACAGGGTGAACAAACCTTATTTACCTATAGCAGCAGGAGACCTTTCTGTCGGATCTGCATGGGTGCTAGTGTTGGCTTTTGCGGTCACTGGATTTTCTATTGTTGCATCAAACTTTGGTCCTTTCATAACGTCCCTATATTGTTTGGGATTGTTTCTTGGAACCATCTATTCTGTTCCTCCATTTAGAATGAAGCGATTTCCTGTCGTAGCATTTCTTATAATTGCAACGGTATGCTTTTTATCTACTTCTTTCTTCTTCTAGCATTTAAAGTGTGTAGCAATTACTTAGCTTCACACTGTGGAGTCGCATTTACTCTTTGGCAAAGAATATTTTTTTTTTGTAAGATTATTTGATGCACAAACGATTCCATGGTTGACCATAATAACATATTTTATAACATTGTATTTTTCTGGTAGTATTTTGCATTTTACATACTACCTACGTTCCAGAAAGTTCACATACTCTTGTTTTAAAGAAAGTTTGAAAAAAAGGGGAGTGGGTTTAAGAAAAAGGTGGATAACAAGTAAAAAGGTATGACAACGTACTGGTTAGGGGTCTGATAGACAGCTACTCCTACAATACTAGATACAGAAACACCACTAGGAACAATTGAGAGAACCTTGGATACAGTAGCACCACCAAGGATTAGGGAGATAGTACTCTACCTAAGAACACTCAAAGTGTAATTATATTTTCATACCCAAAAGCTTGAGTTTCACGGTTACATTCATGGCTTATTCATAGCCTTGATTTAGTCACTATTACAACCAACTAAGTTAATGCATGAAGCTAATTAATGCAAGGAGTAAATGATAGTGTTGAATTTTGATGTTGCCGACATGGGGGGTATAGGACGCGACATGAGGGAGCTTCTAGATGTTTGTCAAACCTTGTTAAACTTCCCTTGTTTGAGAAGACTCGACCTTGAGTTTTTGCTCTTCCCCATTCTCATAATATGGAGACAAATCAACAACATTAAATGTAGCTGAAACATTGTATTCCCCTAGAAGCTTGATCTTAAATGCATTTTCTCTGAATTTTAGCACCTTGAATGGTTCAACGGCTCTGGGCTTGAGTTTACCGTGTGTTCTCCTTGGATACTTTTCCTTCCTTAAGTGAATCCAAACCAGATCTCCTGCTTTACAACAAGCTGGTTTACGAAACTTGTTAGCTTATTTCTTGATAGCGCTGATTTTGCCCTGTGATTTAAGCTTTAACCTTCTCATGTATCTTCTTGATTTCTCTAGCTCGTTCATCGGCATCACCACTAAAGTGGTTAGGAGATGGTAGTGGAACAAGATCAACTGGTGTAGTTGGATTTTTGCCGTTAGCGATCTTGAAAGGGCTTTCACAAGTGGTTTGTTTGGGGAACAATTGTGGGCGAACTCGGCTTGTGTTAACAACACATCCCACTGTCGAAGGTTCTTGCTTACAAGACTTCTTAACATATTCCCAAGAGTCATATTGACAACTTCAATTGAGGATGTGTGGCTGAGCTAAATTGCAATTGTGTTCCTAACTTGCGCAATAAGGTCTGCCAAAAGTGGCTTATAAACTGGACATCTCGATTAGAAATGATGGTCTTTGGGATTCTATGTAGACGTACGATTTCTCGAAAATAAAGATCTTGGCGATATTGATTGGCAAAAACTTACGCTTGAGTTCGTGTTTCATTTTATCTCATGTGCAAATCTTGCTACGACCTTCTCGTTCATGTTGTCGCCTTAAATTCTCCCACCTAATGGATGCATGTTTCTTAAATTTGATGGCAACTAAGTTGACTTTGTGTTCGTCCGCAATGTCTTTAAAATCAAAGACACGTTCCACGGTGTAGAGCCATTCAATGAACTCATCGTGATGAACACCTTTTTCAAAATCTGGAATTTCAACTTTAATTCCAAATTTTTTTTATTGGAATCTCAACGATCATACTGCCACTCATCGGAATGACAATATAAAATTAGCATACAACTTTGATTACCATGACGACTGTGATGGGGGACGTATTGGGGATGGGTACGCCCCAAATATGTCCCCATGGCGTACCCTCGAAAGGTGTTACGGGAAGCTATTTTGGGGACAACTGGGAGGAGCTTCGGAAACGTTTTGGGGACGGATGACGTCCTCAATACAAGCCCAACCCCTTTTTATAAAAAAAAAACTCCAAATTTACTTACACCAGGTTGATTTCTCAAAAACCCTAGAAATTGAGAAGCCAAGATTCCTTGAATTCTTTGCAAGCGATCACCTGCTGCGACCCACCACGATACTGGCGACCACCTGCGACCCACCCCGACACTGGCGACCACCTGCAATTCCTTCTACTTCTCTTTCTACAGTTCTCCTTCTCATATTCTTTCTCTTCGACTATAGCAGTTAAAAAAACCATTATTATTATTTGAATAATTTTTAATTTCCTTTCAATTTACTGTAGCCGCAGTTGCCTCAGGATTCTCAGCGGTAAGTCAGTAGGTTTGTGCTTGTTTTTTTTTTTTTTTTTTTTTTTGTTTTGTTTTGAATGGTTATAATTATCTAATTATCATGTGATTAAGACATTACAAGTGGTTTTTCTTTTAATTTGTATTGTATTATTTTTTGTTTTATTTATTTTATAAAAACATTCTATGGATTTATATTTTGCTCAATTATTTTTTGCCGTATCCATGCCGTACCCGTTTTTTAAAATTTTGATTTTGTCGTATCTTGTCCCCGTACCCGTATCCGTTTCCGTGCAACCTAGCATGATGATCATACTGCTACTCATCGGAATAGGAATGTGGTATTTGATAGTTTTAGTTTTTCGACCATGGTGGCGGCAATCACATTCTCACAACTACCACTATCGATGATGACATCACATATTTTGCCATGAGATGTACATCGAGTGTGGAAGATGTTGTGTAACCACTCATCTTCTTTGACACCGTACTTGTTAAAAATTTCTTTTGGCCACACATGGTTCGTGACATCGATCGATATGTCAAGCGATGTCAAGCATGTCATATTGCTAATGCCCTAGGTCAAAATACTGGTCTTTACACGCCATTGCCCCTCCTTGGAAGGATGTTAGTATGGATTTTGTTGTCGGGACCCAACGCAACAAAGATTCCATAATGGTTGCTGATCGATTCTCGAAGATGGCTCACTTTATTTCATGCAATAAGACTTATGATGTCATGCAAATTGCTGATCTTTATTTTCGAGAAATCGTACGCCTACACGGAATCCCAAAGACCATCACTTCTGATCCAGATGTCAAGTTTATGAGCCACTTTTGGCAGACCTTATGGCGCAAGTTAGGAACACAATTGCAGTGTTAGTCAAAATGAAGTTGTCGATAGGACTCTTGGGAATATATTGAGAAGTCTTGTGAGCAAGAACCTTCGACAGTGGGATGTGTTGTTAGTAGTCTTAGCACATGGCGAGTTCGCCTACAATTGTTTCCCAAGCCAAACCACCGGTGAAAGCGCTTTCAAGATCTTCTACGGTGAAAATCAAACTACGCCAGTTGATCTAGTTCCACTACCCTCTCCTAACCACTTTAGCGGTGATGCCGATGAACGAGCTAGAGAAATCTAGAAGATACATGAGAAGGTTAGAGCTCAAATCACAAGGCAAAATCAGCGTTATCAAGAACAAGCTAACAAGTTTCGTAAACCTGCTTGTTTTAAAGAAGGAGATCTGGTTTGGATTCACTTAAGGTAGGAAAGGTTTCCAAGGGGAACACATGTTAAACTGAGCTTCCAGAGGAATATAATGTTTCAGCTACACTTAATGTTGCTGATTTGTCCCCATATTACGAGAATGGAGAAGAGCAAAGACTCGGGGTCGAGTCTTCTCCAATAAGGGAAGTTTGACAAGGTTTGACAAACATTTAGAAGCTCCTTCATGTCGGCATCCTATACCCCCCATGTTGGCAACGTCAAAATTCAATACTATCATTTACTCGCTGCATCAATTAGCTTCTTGCATTAACTTAGTTGGTTGTAATAGTGACTAATTCAAGGCTATAAATAAGCCATGAATGTAACCGTGAAACTCAAGCTTTTGAGAATGAAAATATAATTACACTTTGAGTGTTCTTAGGTGGAGTACTATCTCCCTAATCCTTGTGTTATGGATCCACTTTGTGGCACGGTCCAACCCATCAAAGTTTATACACGTAGGCCCAAGCCAAGGAGAGGAAGCAACGGTCAACAAAGGGAAGCAGTGAAAGAAAACGGTCAACAAGGGGAGTCAATGAAAGGGACAACAAAAGGAGTCAACAACAACAAAGAAAAAAGTGACAAAACACATTAATAAGAGATTAAGGAAAGCAAGCGACAAGTCTCAACAATATCTAAATGTGGTTTTGCCATTTTAGCTAAGTATCACATGTATCCATCTTAAGGGTTACTTCTTGTCTTAGTTGGCTTGAGTATAAGTAGTGTAATAATGTTATTAGTAAGGGTATCCAGAAATTGAGTTAGAAACCTTTGAGATTAGTAGCCTAAAGCTACCATGAGATTGATAGCTTCAAGCTATGTAATCCTTGTTAACTTTCCACTTAATTAATCAAACTACTCAAGCTTCCCTTAATTCGTGTTTAATTAGCATAATTGCGTTTACATAAATCCGTTACATTACACCTTGGTGGTGCTACTGTATCCAATTTTCTTCTCTCAATTGTACCTAGTGGTGTTTCTGTATCTAGGAATTAGTAGAGTTGTATCGGCTTAGTAGCCGACCGACGTGGTGTTTTGGCTAATTCTATCCAATTCAACGTTTTAACCACTCTTTTAAATTTTTCTTGAATTTTATTCTTGGTTCTTTTTTAAAACTCCCTTAATTTTCTTAAATGCTCTTTCGTTTACTCACTTTACTCAAATTTTTCAAACTCTTTTAAGTGATGAATTTGTTATGTCCTTTTCCTTATATCGTACGATTCCTTATGACGATTCATGTTAGCCGACCCCAAATAATTTTGGGACTAAAGCTTTGTTGTTGTCAGAACTTAACTTGTCTTGTTTGAAATAAGTTAATCAAGCAGATCCTAAAGTATGATGGTAGGGCAGGCTTGGCTTTTTTTTTTATTAGGAGGGTTGGGTTTGTAGAGATACTTGCAATGTCTATTACATATATGTTTGTATAAAAATCTGGACCAATTTCACCAATTTTCTGATCTGTCAAGAATTGGTTCCACCAGGGTACCCAGGGGTACTGAATCCAAGAAGTGAGGTTTTGGAACCGGTCATGACTGGTTCCGAGATATTGGATCCAGTACTGGTCCCGGTGATACCAAATCTGAGTCCAGAACCTGGTACCAGTTATTTTTGGTCACCCCCTAGTTATTGCTATTGGGGTATATTTGTGAGCGTGGTGTCTACATGAGCAGATTCATCATAGCAGAGATACTTGTGCTCGGGTTACTTTATGCACTTTTCAACAAGGCTATGAAGATGATGCAGAATAACTTTGCAGGTTCGTGGATTTCTTCTTAATTTTGGTGTATACTATGCCACCAGAGCAGCTTTAGGACTCCCATTTGAGTGGAGGTATGTCTTTGTTTCTCAATACAGTTTTCTAGAAACATGAGTCTGTTCTTTCTATGATTAGGTAAACGGCGCAGAGGGCTTTTTATATAATGATAATAATGCTCATTCTGTCTAGAATTATGATTGGAAAAGTGAATTTTTACAGAAGTATTTTACAATAGAAGTTTTTAATGTCTTAGAAAATTGTTTCATATATCTCTGCCACCCTGATCCAGATTTCTGATAGCAAAAACCTAGCATTTTGTAATCTGTTTGGTGAATTATTCGGTTCTATCACTGACTTCCTTAGTAAGAGTTATTTTCAGCTGTCTATAATGTTTGTTTTTAGCTGTAATTATTGGCTGTTTATGTATTTTCTTTGTGGCCTGATTTTGTGCTCAAATGCTCAATAGTTTTGTATTAATGGCAATACCAATACTATCCCAGAATATTTAAGATCTTACCTAAAGCAAGGCATATGCTACTTGGATTTTGCATTTCACCTCAAGTACTTGTGTTGGAGATACTTCAACATGGGTATAAGTATTATCATGCAAAGCATTTTACAAATTGGTTGGGCTGGAAACTGGGCTACATACTTGTGTTTGACTGTAGAAGAGTCTAAGTAACATAGAGTAGTAGACTGAGGGGAGTGGCGTATGTGGAGGAAAGTTATGCACCCCTACTTCTGCAGTGACAGAGTTGTTTCTATTTGATGATTTGCAAAAACCATGTGTTATTTGACAATGTATAAGAAGCCCAAACAGTTAATAAGGCATATTGATTGAGTCCAATATAATGCAAAACTACTCTGACTTTAGTGTGATACTAGTCGAAATTTTACTCTTTGATGTTGCATGTACACCATTGTGATTGAGCTAATCTAGACATTTACACACTCTATACTGTGATTTTGATATGCAGTTATCCTGTGGTATTCATCACAACATTTGTAACTTTGTTTGCATTGGTGATTGCCATAACAAAAGATCTCCCAGATGTGGAAGGAGATCGCAAGTAAGTCCTGCTTCTATCATCTTTTCTTTGTAATTGTTTGATGAATTTTCTATCAGTTGCATGTTTGCTTTATGTAGAAAGCATAGAATATTTTGAAGAACAGCGGGAGGGCTTTATGTGAAAGATGGATTTTTGAGATCTATTGAACAAATAGACGTATACATAAGTACATAACAAACAGCTAGTAGCAGTGAGACAAGACTAATAACTTTTGAAGAGAATTTCTATCATCCAACAAGTTTCTGGGGATAGTGGGAAATCGAAGATTTGAACACATTTGATAATCTTGTTTCCTATTAGGGCATCATAGGGTTTACAACTATATATGGCACTCATTTCTCTGAGAAAAAAAAAAAAAAGTGTTAATAGTTTAATATGAAGAACTCTCAGCTTCTATTTTCATGCATATAGCGAGAAGTGGTTAATGTAATGGTGAATTGATATGTAGTACTGTACTCCCCTTGTTCATCTATGTTTTACTCGGCCTATTGTAGACACGGAGAAAATTTTGAAGTAGGTTAGTGTGTGTAGGATAAAATCTAAGAGAGAGAATGTAAAAGGTGGATGGCTGTAAGAAAATGAGGTAAGACGGGTAAGATGGTAAAGCAGGCATGTCTAAAATAGAATAAAACAATATGACTATAGTAAAAAAGAGCTGGCAAAAACAGAAAGTGGGTAGCACATAAAAGAACGGAGGGAGTACTTCCATTAGGCTTTGTCATTTCATATACAAGTATAATTTTATGAGAGTTAGATGCTATAAGAAAGAGATAGTAAGGCCTGATTATATTGAAAAGAGAAACTTGGACAAATTTTAAATTTCTGTAGATATAATAACGAAAATTAAAATGTGCTGGTCAAATTATGAGATGGAAAGTGCCCTACATAATCTAGGAAAACCCTAAATGGAAATGGTATACGCCATTGTATGACAAAGGGAGTATCATTGGTAACATGTTTTCCCTTCATATTTCTCATGTTCTTCTCCAATGAAATTTTAAATTAATGTAACATAATGCTTTTATAGGTTTCAGATATCAACCCTGGCAACAAAGCTGGGGGTGAAAAATATTTCACTGCTTGGTTCTGGCCTATTGCTGGTTAACTATATTGGCTCTATCATTGCTGCATTTTTCTTACCCGAGGTGAGTTTTCTTTAATTGACATGTTCATTGTATATCTTTGCTTGTAGTTTAGGTTTTGGTTCTAGAAAGTTGTATTTTGCTGAGAAAATTTCCCTTCCAAATGATAACATGATTGGTTTGCTTGTTGTTTAGGCCTTCAGGTGCAGCTTGATGATACCTACACACACCATTTTGGCAATATGTTTGGTTTTCCAGGTATGCGCTCATAATGTTGATAGGAAAAAATCTTAAATAACTGATCAATCATTATCATGTTAGAGGGGCAAATTGCTTTATAATACCATCCTCATTTTTAACGTTAAGCATAGTCCTTATGAAACACTTGTGATATCATGTTTGGAATTAGTAAATATTTCATAGACATGTCATCCCTCAAAGCCTGTGGATTGTTGGATTTATGCTAGGTTGCAAGTGTTGGTGGTGATGAGCAGAAGCAATTTCAACTGAATCTTTATGGCCTAGGTTAAAATTGTCCAAGATACATCTGCAAGTGTTGGTTTAAGCCAAATTTTTAATATTTTGTTGGTTGAAATCAAAATATCAACTGTCAAGTCTTGCCACCTGCATTAATATACCGATGTGTGTGCTTAAGCTAAAGTGAACATATCATCTAACATGGATAAAATACTCACTATTTTTTTTTTCTGATGTGAGTTCTTTGTGTGTGTTTTGTTATTCTTGTCTTCAGACATGGTTGCTCGACCAAGCTAAATACTCCAAGGTAATACTTTACATGTTTTTGTTAATGTTATGCTAGGGCCAAATTACTGTGATTATTATCTTATTTCAGATCTTTCTTGATAGACTTGCCTTATTGTAGAGATGAAAATTTGATCATTATCACTGTTTGTTTTTTGATTGAGTCCTTTCTTCTATTCTGTCTGAAGATATTCATATACTTTTCTGAGTAAATGATACAAAGTATAATCTAGATCAAATTGGCCTTGCGGTAACATGAGGATTTCAAATTTCAGTATTGATTGTGTTTTGGACCATACCTGACCCTTAATTTCACCTCAAATTTGCAAGTTAGATACTTGGCACTTGCACGTTAGTGTGACTCTAAGACACTTCATTTTGGGCCAAAATCAGTCAAAGCTTTCATAAAATGGCCATGTTTAACACTTGGATACATATCTGCATCTGACAAGTGTCTGAGTAACATAGGTTTTGGATGGAAATTCTGGCTGCTATTTTTGTGCTGCTACTGAAAATTAAAGTTACTCCAATAAATGGTTGACCAGAACAAGGATGAAATTCAGTTCATAAGATGGAATGTAGTAGTGTAGGTGACAAAATCTCCAAATGGTGTGCAAAACACCTAATAAGCCATTACAATTGTTTTCAGTCACTAATTATTTGTCTATTTGATTAAGATATCCATTTAAGGGGAAAGATAATAAGCCTCCGAGGAAGCTAAGAAAGCTTCTATTCCAAGTAAAAATCACATTTAAAAGTCCTCACTACTCAGCTTCATTTTTCTGAGATGTGCTGGTCAAGAGGAAAAGCTGACCCTTTCCATGGACCTATTTGAATCAAAATGTGATAGCTAAGTCATCACTTTCAGTTTCATGTGAATGTTTAGTCAATCTTGGTATGTAAGCTGGAAGCATATCGATGAAAATATCGTCTAGTAAGAATCCAGCTGCTGGCTAGGGCTGAGAGATCCAGCCAGATGCAACTAAGAAATTATTTGATAGTATTTGAAGGAGCCATGCTAATTGCTAACCTTAAAATCAATCACTATTACTCACAGTAGTGAAGGGAAATGGAGGGGAAGGAAAGAGTGGCCTTCCATTTTCCTTCCAAATCTCTTTCACAATGGAGGAATTAGAATTATTAAAAGGGGAAGGAAAGCGGGTCTCTCTATTTTCTTTCCCTATGTCTTATCTAACTATGGTATTTTAATAAAAAAAAGGCCAAGAAATAGAAAGAAAAAGGCAAAGGAATTTGTATCCCTCACTTTCCTTTCCCTCCATTGTGACTATCCAAACATAGTGTAGTGTGCTGTTTCATGCCAAGTTCAAGCTTTCTTCATATTGTTTTCTTCTTTCAACCTTGGTCTATTATGATTGTTTAGCACTTCTCTCTTTCCCCCACCCCAGTACCCCATCCCCCAGTGAAAGGTGCTCGCTAGTATATCTGTATAAGCAGCTTCCAATTTCTGAATATTCTTTGACCTCATTTTGCAGGAAGCAATCACAACTTTCTACAGATTTATCTGGAATCTATTTTATGCAGAGTATATTATATTTCCTCTGCTTTGAAAATTCACGGGAGCCTAGGTGATCAGGCAAGAATTTTCCTGATTTTGTTTATATTTCAACATACTGACTGTATCCAAATAGCATAGCATGTACCCTATTTCGGACCATGTAATGTACCAAAATGTATGACATTCTAGGTTATTGTCATGATAACTTTATTCTTCACCATATATTAATATCCAAAGCTATAGTCGCAACAGTGCAAGCATGCAACAGAGTCAGTAATATGATGACTTTCCCTTGCCAGTTTGGTTATTGAACTTCAAAGAGTCAGGCTAATTGTTTAATAGATAGGTAACTAGTAGGGGGGGTAAAAGTTAATCATGTCATAAGTTGTACTCTATCCTTGACCAATAGCTAACTCGAGTCTGGTTCATAATAAGGCATCTAGTAATTGCGTAATTTGTTAGGCAAGTAGATAATCCTCATTGTCAAAAAGAGCAAAACAAGAGTTGCCTAAAGATACATGGTTACATGTCACAGTTCTTGATGCTTTTCATAGTCAAAAACAGAAAGTTTCTGCGTGGCTTTAACTTTTTTACTGATTAGTAGTTAGTGTCTGGAAATTTATTGATTTGTTCAGGGTTCAGGACTAAGGTTACTTTTACTTGGAGATGTTTCTTTGTGTAAACCTGATGATGTCCGGGGGGTATAATTCTTGTTCCGAGGAGTAGCATCACTACTCCTTGTACTCCTTGGAGACAATTGCACTTGCTCCAGCACTTGGCATTGCAACATTGAAGGATAATCCCTCACACACCCAATTCTAGGTCCGGCTCCCGTTGTCCATTTAAATTGTAAATGTTCACCCAATTGGTAAGATCTGGTTCTTCTGTGACTTTGGATCCTCTTGAGAATTGTTGCTTCTGATATTCGCTCTTCAAACTCAGGATCGTCATACACCTCAAATAAGTTCAGTTTAGGACACATGAAATCATGCTCTGAGAGTAGCGTTTCTTCTGCTGTCTCAAAGCCGTCGTCTGTTGAGAAATTCTCTTCAACATCACCATCATTACTGGGACTTTGTTCTGGTGGTGGTTGTGGTGTCTTAAACTCTTCTTCCACCACTTCATGCATGCTTGGAATTCTAAGTTTGGCAATCTTAGAGCCTAGAAGCTGAGATCTTTTTATTAGCATGGCCGAGGTGGCGACTTCTGAAAGCTTAAAAACCTGTGGCCTTGGTTGATTATCATCTTGAGTTAAACAGCTTGAACTAGTACCTTCTTCCTCTGTTCTAAATTGATTCGTGCGGAAGGCAGGAGTTTTGCTACTAACTCCATCTTCTTCCTCCTGTGGTGTACTCTACATTGACAAAACAAAATCAGGCAAGTACATAATTCTTTACTCTATAACTCCAAATAGTAGCTAGAGGCAGCAAACGGGTCGTTCAGATAGAATTCGGTTTGGGAATTTTACATACCTTGACACAAGTGAGATCGACGTTATGCTCTTTGAGGAACGACATAAATGCCTGGAAGTTTTCTTCGGTAGGAAGGTAGTGACCACTGTGAGGCCAAACTGACTGTAACAATTGAACAAATTGTAAGTCAAAACTAAATCAATCAAATCCGAAAAAATAATGTTCCAAAAAAAAAAAAAAATTGTTAGTACCACTAAAATGCCATTGTCAACAATCAATCTGCCAGCAGATAATGTAGCACCTCCAGCCAAGAAACTTGAATGCTGAAACTTGCCTTTGATTTTCTGGGCAACATACAAGGTTTTTGTCGTGCTTAAAACGAAGATCCATTTAGTATCTTTAGGCACTCCTACTGTATCAACAGCCTGTTGAGTTGCTTTGTATATGAGCTTCCCGTTCTCTACTATTACTTCATAAGCCTCCCTCTCTCCCTATAACACGAAATCACATATCGTCTTAGGTTGTCCTCATGACTGATGTTGATCAAATGACAATACAATGTACATACATACATAGGATAAGCGATAAACTAGAGTGGCTTTATTCATTGTTTTCCATGGAGTATTTTATTCTTGGGAGGGTGAGGGGAGAGATAGCAGGACGGATCATTTGCTTTAGGCCAGTTCAATTTGGGTTAATTAGTCGTTTAGTTTGTCTTCGTACCAATAACAGAATGGCTGGTTACTGTAAAGAAGAAATAATCGTAAGAAAGGTGTTAGAGAAGTTAGAGAAAATCAACTCACTGGATCTAGGTACTTGATGCACTGTTGTTGAAGTCGTGATCGCGAGCATCTGTCAGTTAGGTCAACTTCTTTTCCATCTCCAATGTCAAGCCTAGTTTCAACAGCCAAATTATGTTTGTCATGAATCTACCTTGAATAATGGTTGTACTTTTTGAAATTGTGTTAATCATAGAATTTATACCAATAAAAGAATGGTTGATTACTGTCACAATGAAGCCACCTTGCATAGTAAAATTGTAGGTTGTGTCCATAGCGATGTCGAGGATCTATCTATCGACAAGGAAAGGACGTATGTTAGAAGTTTCGAAGATGAATAAGATCCAACCTTTGTGTTGATGAGTATATGGTGTATGTAGATTTAACTCACAGCCTCGAGCCAATGTTGCAGGGCAAGTTTCCTAGATTTCGAATCTTTAGACGAGCCTTTTCCAACCTAAGTGAAGCCAAAAAATCATGAATATATGGACTATGAAACAAGAAAAACCTGTATATGCTAGGAATTGAGCCAATTAAGTATAGTGCATATGCACCATGTTTGGAGAAATTCTTGATTACTAACTTTAGCAGCCCTTGTTCTTGCTCTTGACCATCGCGACAGAGCTGATTCAGGCTTCTCTATGTCAAAGAATGAAATAGAGCTGTGCTTGAGTTCAGCAAAGTCTAGTACCTGCCACCTACATTGATCATTTAGAGACTTAGAACAATTATTAAGTTTTGTTTTCGAAAATTGACTGATATTATATACGGAACCTTCTTGATGTTAGGCATTTGTAACTGATGCATGAAGTTGATGGAAAAATCGAATGATGATAATGATCTAACATGTCATTTTAAGATGCTAGCAGTTGCTTGGCTACTGCAGGTTGACAGTTATGCATATAAGAATACGATTTAACATGTTACCTGCAACTTTTGATGTCGATTGTTCAAAATCTTACATGACACTTTCAAAGTCTCAAAATCGAAAAGCAAAACTAGTACAATGACAAAATACATTCAGATTTGATGACCTAAAGAAGATAAATAAGCAATCATACCATTTTTGTTCAGCAAGCACAGCACAATCTGCAAGCTGCCTTCTGATCCGAAAACTTTTGTACACTTTCTGTAATTTTACTGCAGCCAAACTTCTATTATCTCGCATCTTGGGTGTTAATGATGAGGATGGTATTTTTGGAGTAGTCTGATGTAGTATTCGAGTATACGTCGATTGTTTAGAATCAAGTTGTTCAGCGTTAGCTTCATCAACATTTTCCATACTACATGAAAATGGAAGTTGCATCGTAATCTCTTCTGTTGAGTCCATCTCTTATAGCCTTTACAAACTTAACATCCACATCTTCTGATCTTCATTCCTTTGCAGATCCAAATGATCTCTAGAAGACAAATTTTAGGCTTCAAGCACGAAAACAGCTAGAGATTATTAGCCCCATAGCGTACAGTGAAGGATGAAACTTTCATAAGTATTTGTAGATGAACATAGTCTTTGAGGTCCAACTCCCTGTAAAATTTACTTGAAGTTAGAATGCATATTCAGTTACATTGTACAACTAAGGCTGTGCTACATCAATATGAAGAATGTATGTTGCATAAGTTTTGAAAGATCAATGATTCACCATCTGAAAGCAATAGTCACATACGAAATACATTGGATAACACAAATTCTATATATGGCAGGCTACACCATGTGGCCGGCCATTAAGGCGGTTACTTCATTTGAATTATAGGGGTTACTCGGTAAGTGTTACATGAGTTACTTCGTCAGTTTTATACGGTTACCCAGTTAGTGATATATGGGTTACTTGATCAGTATTACAGGGGTTACTCAGTTAATGTTATAGAGGTTACTTTGTTCTTTTACATGCTATCAATCCGCCACATGTTGTGGCCAGCAGCAAACAAGCATTATTTCAATTAATGGGAATATACGTACATAAATTAATTTCCTTCTTTTATATGATATACATTCAAACTAAAGAAAATTTGTTGTTCCAGGGGCTATCACCAGTCTTTAAGTTGGTGGTAAACCTTTATTTTCAAGTTATTTTTTTTTTAACTTGTTTATTATTTTATGAGCGTGATTTTTTTTATTTTTTTTTTTTATTTTTTATTAATTTTTTTTTTTATCAAAGACGAGTTTTTCTACCTAATTTTATTAGATTATCTCTCTCCTCTTATAAAAGTTTGGGGCTATGTATTTTTATTTATTCTGTAATTTGACTTGTTATTGAGGTTTCAGATTATAACTACTACTTGCATGATTAACGGAATTATTCAAGGGATTGCTTGCGTGATTATTAAGTAAAAACATCATTTACACAGACCAAAAAAAAAAAAAAAACCTCTGAAAATTGCACATCAAAGAGTGCATTGCATTTTGGCATTTAATAAAATGCATTGCACACTTTGATGAAAAGATTATAAATATTTTACAAGAAAATTTAAATTAACTTTGCACATTACTATCTCTCATAAGATGAAAAGATTATAAATATTTTACAAGAAAATTTAATTAAAAGCTCCATTCTTTGCGTTTCTCACAAGGGTAAAAATTTTATGCAAACCCCATTCATTGCCTTTTATGTTTAACAAGTTAATTGATCAAAGACAAGTTTCAAAAATCATGTAAATAAAAAATAAACATGCAAAATGTGTTATATATATATATACTTCAATTAATTGTTGTTTGCAGAAAAATGAAAATCTTAGAATAAAATATAGAGTTACATACCATCAAAAGGAGATTTCTGCCTGATCAATCTGTAAAAAGAATGCAACTAAAAGGAAACATCAAGGAGAAAAGAGAAACAATGATACAAAATGATGGGACAAAGTTGTCAAAAGAGGAAAATTAATTATATAAAGGTTGGATAAAAGAAGGGAAAAAACAATGTAGGATGGAGAAAATATCATTAATAGGAAAAATCAATTAAAAAAAAAACCTTTGACAACTATTTTTCCAAAAATTCTTTTTGACTTTTTTTAGAGGAATATCTACTGACCTTTTCGTTTTTAATGGTTGTGGTTGTGATTAATAAGCATTTATTTAAGAAGGGAAGTTTTTATCGCTCTAGATTTTTACTAAAATAAACTAGTTATTGGTCAGGCCGCGCGATACCTCGGCTCGTCATAAATTTATACTATTATTAACTACTTTGTATTAATTATTAATTAATTACTAATAAAATAATTAATAAATAATATTTAATAAAATTTAAGTAATAATTAGTAATAGTATGAAGTAATTAAAAAAATTAATTTTTAATAAAATTAAGTAATAATTAGCAATTAGTACGAAGTAATAAATTAACTAAAAATTATTAATAAACTAATTAATTACTCCATAGTAATTACTTTAATAATTAATATTCATTAAGAGATGTTAATTATTTATTACTAATTATATAATAATTGTTTAATATTCCCTTTTAATCATTATTGAATAATAAATTAACTACACTAAACAGTTTATAAATTATTTTTTATAATTTTAGTTTGATATAACCTAATAGGTATGTAAATAATTAATAAACAAGTATGCATTACCAATTAGTATTTTATATTTAGTTACGACTCATAATAGATAACAGCTAACAACTGATTATTCATAATAGATGAATACACATAATAATATCCTTCAAGGTCATTTTACATTGTTGAAGCGAACAGCTAACAACTGATTTTACCAAACATATATTTGTATACAACCAATGGTCAAACAGCTAGTCAAACCAGCCAATGTAAACAAGCAGTCAAAGCAGCCGATGTAAACAGCTGACATGTAACAGTCAATTGCTAAACAAGGCCTAGGATGTCTCTCCTCCTTAGACCCATCTAATAATGCCCTAATGCAAACCCCACATAGGCTCGTCGCCTCCCCCCCCCCATCTCTCTCTCTCTCTCCGTCTCTCTCTCTTAAAATTGAAATTGAACTTGATTTAAACACTTAATTAAAGTTTATTTAATGCATAATGTTGATTAAGATGATAAAAT